TCGCCCACTCCGTCAACCTGCCCCCTTCTCAGGAGCTTCCCTTTCCGTCCCAGGAGATAAAGTGTTTTTTCCCCTCCGCATTGATGGCCGCCCCATCCGCCAGGCTTGGCAAATTGCAGCCCGACTCTGAGTGGGGCTTCCATCCAGGGAGCCAGGGGGGGCAGGTCCCCCTTCCTCAGGCCCCACAAAGGAGGGAGCCCCAAGGGGGTGGGGGCGGCCTCCACGGCCCGGAGGAGCCTGGGTTCCAGGCAAAGCTGGCACTGGGACAAACCGGGGCTTTGGGGCTAGGGACCCCGAAGGTGACCGTCCAGGGCCCGGCCACAGCGCTGAGCAGGTCGGTGGTGGGGGGGTGGTGCTGGGGTTGGCCCGACCACAAATGCCCACCCTGGGAGCTTCCAAGCAGGATCCAGTGCCCACCTTGACCCCAACCTGGCCAACAGCCCCAGCACGGAGGAGGTGAACGCTTCATGGAGGCTCCTGGGAGCTGGGACACACTGCACACTCACAGCAGAAGTGACCCAGGGGTCCCCCTAAGCTCACTCCCCAATGGGTGGCCCCTTCTCTCTCCGCTGCCCAGACTCAGCGCCCTGGGACGTTCACTGTGCCTGCAGCTAGCAGGCTGCTCAGCCGAGCTGAAGCCCGGAGCTTGGCGCCCTTGGGACCCCCACGTGCCCCATGACTGGCTCTCACCCCACCCAGCTGTCTCGTCTATAAAATGAGTCTTTCTCCCTACATTAAAGAGAGAACAATACAGCGATACCCCTGAAAGTCACCAGAATGGCTAAAATCAGACCCTAGGCAGTAGCAAGTGCCAACAAGGGCGTGAGGCCCCGGAACCCCCAGCACTCGGGGGGTGACCTGGAGCTCTGCTGGGCAGTCCCCGGCGTCGTGAGTCTCCTGGGACCAGCAATTCTCCCAGAGACAGGCCCAGGTATCAGCACCCAGGAGAAATGCCAAAAGGCCAGCACAAGAATGCTCACAGCAACACGGCTGGTAACAGCCAAAGCCAGCGGTGTGCGCGCGGCTCTGCTCTCCCCATGAATACAGGCTGCCCAGCGGACGGGCAAGCCGCCGCGGCCAGCCACACAGAGGCACCGAGCGTCCACAGACCCGCCGTGGAGTGGGACAGGCCAGACACACGGGGGCACCGCGCAACACCGCGTACTGAAAGCTGTGGGAGTGGAGGCTGGGGCACCTGGGCTGGGACGGGGGCATCTCCTGGAGGGGCGCCGGTTTCCCACGCACGCTCACCCCCACGCACATCTCCACTGCAGTGCACACGGGCAAGCCGCCTCTGGGCGGGGTGGAGGCGGGTGGCCCACAGGGCCTGTCCCAGCCCTTTGCACCCCTGCTAGGGGCCAGCTCTGTCCCCGTGTGAGCGAGGCAAATGCGGTCCATCTGGGCTGCATGGAGCTGGTGCTCAGGGAGGGCCCCGAGTGTGAGGGATCAGACTTGGTCCCCAGTGCCGTGGGAAGCCCTCAGTTGTGCTTAGGGAGGGAAGTCACATGACCCGAAGTCGCCCTTCACGAAGAACTGGGGAGCGGTCAGGGGTGCCCCGCAGGCTGAGGAGGAGGCCCCCCGGTCAGGAAGCATGGTGGCCCGTGTCAGAATGGGACAGCAGCAGGAGGGACGTGTTCTGGAGGCCGAGCCCATGGGGACCCACAGATGGGGCAAAGGCGGTGTCCTGGGCCTCCGGCCTGAGCAGCGGTGGACCTGCAGCAGGAAGGTTGTCGTGACTGCATGGACAGTCCCCAGCAAGTGGGGCGCGGGAGGCAGCCAGAAGGAACCAGGCGTCCCCCCAGGGTCTCCTGCTGCTCGGGCCCCCCTGGGCTCCCCAGCCAGGGCTCCCATTTCCCACTGGCTGATCCTGGACGAGCACGTTCCCCTGTGGGCCTCAGTTGCGTTATCTGAAGGTAATTTCGTGAGTGCGGTGCATGGGCACTTCCGGGAGGCACACCGAGCAGGGGGCAGCCGGCAGTGAAGGCCCCAGGCTCCCTAGAAAATCTCTGGTTCCTTTGGGACCCCACCCAACTCAGGTGTAGACAGCTGACGGGGCCCAGGGGTACCCAGCCCCCACTGGGGACAGGTCACCGGGCCAGGCGCATCCCTCGGTGAAGGCTCAGCACATCTGACGAGAAGCCGGACCCAGCCGTGGCCGACAGAGCCACCCTATCCTGAGGCCAGCAGCTGCTCCCGGGTAAACAGGAAGCCCCATCTCTCCCCTGCTCGTTGCTCTGCTCTCTCCTTCCTGCAGCCCAGCTCACAGGCCTCCTCGCCCGGTGCCCCTCTGCCTCAAGCCGCCTGACATGCCTACGCCGGCCTCTGCTGGGGGCCCGGTCTACCCTCTCCTGGGGCTGCAGAGACCCGAAGGTCAGTGGTGAGGGGTCCCGAGAGGGTCCCGGGAGGACCACAGAGGCCCTGGCGGAGTTTTGCCGCGCCCCACTGCCTGACTGGCACGCTCAGGGAAGGTAAGGCAGCGAGACTGCTTTCCAGTCAACTTCAGACCGTTCGCGGAGAGGCCGGGAGGCAGCTGCAACCATCCAGCCCTACTGACCATGGGGTGGATGGGGAAACTGAGGCCCGGAGCCTCCAGCAACAGAGAGCAAACCTGGGACCAGTTTCCCCCAGTCTTGGACGCCCTGCCGGAAGCTGGCCAGGCGCTAGGCCCAGGTCTCTGAGCTGCCCAGGCGTGGACATCGGACTGCCGGGCCCACCCTGCCCTCAGGGGACGCAGGCCCAGGTCAGAGGCAGCACTGACTCCTTCCAAAGATGACTCCCCGCGGGCAGGCCCTGTGATCCAGGACCCTACACAGGGGCCATCGGAGGTGGGAGGAGGCGTTGCCTCTCGTGGGAGGGAGGGTGGTCCTGGCCTGCCCCAGGTGGAGCCCCCTTCCACCCATCCAGCACCCCGGGGTGGGCCCGTGGGGCCGAAAGCGCGCCTCACCCCTCTCAAGGCCCCCAGGACCTCCTGGAGTCCAAGAAGGTGTCAGCTTCCATCTCTGTCCTCCACCTGTATCCTGCCCCCAGGCAGACCCCGAGGAGCTGAGCCCCCGTTTAGGGCAGGAGCCTAGCCCTCCTCCCGCACCTGCCCTGAGGCTCTAGGGGTCTGAGAGTGGAGAGCCCCCGGGGTGTAAGTGACAAGTCAGGCGAGGCTGCTCGCTTGGCGCCCTGATCCAAAGCCCGCTTTCCGTGGATTGGTTCTGATCTCAGTTCGGGGAGGGGCTGGAGGCAGGGCAGAGCGGGTCAGGAGGGAAGCGCAGATCCGTGGGGGACCCACAGGGCTGCACAGCAGGCGGAGCTGGCGCCCCAACCTGGCTGGCACCCGGGGGCCGGGGAGACCAGCTTTCTTCCTTCTCGCCTCTGTGCTCTGGGGCATCTTTCCAGAAAGTTCCCTAACATGCCCAAGCTTTAAAGGGGGGGGCTGAGCCATTCACCGTCCACATATTTGGCTCATTAGCTACTCCCATGTCAGCCCACCCCCTGGCAGGGAAGGTCTGAGGACTGGGGGCTGCCCCCTGAGGGAGGCATTCTCTGAGAAAAGAAAGCAGCTGTCTTGGTCCTGACTCCTTCCAGCCCTGCTCTGCCTCGCTGCTCACCTGGGGCAAGTCTCTTCCCTCTCCTGGGCCTCAGTTTCCCCGTCTGTACACAAAAGAGGCTAGCTGCAGCCGACCCTGATGTCTGCAGGGGCTTGGAGCCCATCTCTGGGTGTGGGTCTGGGTGGGGTGGGCAGAGGGGGCAGAGCTCCTGTGCCCGAGGTCCCCCAGCCCTGTGCCCGCGGCAGACCCTCCCCAAGCCATGGAGGTGAGGAGGAGGCTGGTCCTTCTTGCTCTCAGCATTCCCGTGGGGGATTTTCCAAGCTGCTCCCCCTTCCTCCCTCTTGGCCAGGACACCGAGCTGGGTGGGCCGGAGGGAGGTAAGGGCAAGCAGAGGGTGTTCCCGGCTGTGGGTGGGCAGGGGCTGACCCCGGAGCAGGGCGCGAACCCCCAGAACAACCAGCAATGGTTTAGAGTGGCCCTGCCTGATCAGGGACCCTTGGCCAGCTGTGTGGTCCGGCTGCATCCTCAGCAGCTGCCCGGCTCCCCTTGGGTCCCCACCTACCCACGATCACAGCAACTGATGCCCAGCCTGTGGGTCCCCAGCACCGCCTAAATGAGGAAACCGGGAGTCAGTCCAAGGGCTGGGGGTGAACCACAGGGCCAAATGAAGGAAGCACCCCCTGTGGCCACCCAAAGGCCCCTGCACTCCTCCATCTCCCACCCCAGCCCTGGCACCCCTCAGCCTGCTAGAGGCCGAGGGAGGAGAGACGGCCCAAGGACGTGCTCTGCCTGCCCCCAGGAGAGAACCCCTGCGGGTGCACTTCCAGGAACAGGGGGCTCAATGCCCCCCTGGGGTAGCCCCTTCCTGGAGAAGGCCTTAGTCTCTGGGCTGACGACCGCCCCTCCCTGGCACCCCCTCCCCCCGAGCCACTCTGGGCCCCAGGGACGCATGCAGCAGGCTGTTCTCTGACCACCAGCCTACCTTGCCCATCCCCAGGTCTCTTCTGGCTGGGTGCCCCCTCCCAGGGTGGGGGGTCCCTCCAGATTCCCACGCTGGGCATACATATCTGGGGGTGCAGGTGCCTGCCCTGGGGGAGAGTCCAGGGTCACAGAACAAACAGTCCCTCCTGTGGAGCTCCAGTAACATGGCCAAGGGGCCCAGCAGGTGGCTTCCCAGTGTGCCACGTCCTCCGTCACACGCTGAGACCAGCGGGTCCCAGGGTCGCCAGCCGGGCCTGTGCCTGGTCTCTGGCTGCTTTGGAGTTAGACTCTGAAATCCCAGGGGACCGCTCCCCCACCCCTGCCCACAGCTCGGCCAGGCCACCCCCTTGACGGCCCCCACCCGTCCCTGGGCCTCCTGTTTGTTCGCTGACAGCTCCCTGTTATCAGCGAGGAACACACACAGGAAGTCCGGCCGGGAAGGGCCCATCCCAATCCTGATTTACACGGGATGGAGCATAAAAAGCCGCCCTTCCTCGCCCCGGGAGGAGCCTCCCTGCCCTGAGCCGGCTGTCCCACACAGCCCAGCTGGAAGCTCCAGTGGTCAGGCCAGGCAGGCGGCCTCCGGAGGCACCTTGGGGCGGCCGGAGACGGGGAGGATCCACCTCTGGGCTGAGCAGGCCGCGATGGGGGCCGTGGCCAAGCCTGGGCCCGGGCCGTATCAGGTATGGCAGGGGTGGCCTTGGGGGGCAGGGAGCGGGCCGAGCAGGGCGGGCGCCCCCTTGGCTCCCACCGACCCTCGGACCACAGCACCCGTCGCCTGGGTGCGCCCGCTCTGCACCCTGCTTTCCGGGCACCATCTCGTTCTTCTCCCTAATGGTGCCATTCCCACTGCATGGAGGACACTCAGGACCCTTGGCCACGGGCACCCATTGCGGATGGCCCAGTCTAGACCGACTCTGACCTGCCCGACAGGGACACTTAGCCCTGGGGGGCCCAGCAGCTACTGTGACCCCTGAGAGAAGAAGCCGGATGCAACCTGTGGCCTTCCCCTCCACACACCCTCCTGGCCGTCTCTGCCATCCTGGAGGGGCCCCTAAGGTTGGCTCGGCTCTCCTCTCAGAGCCGGGGGTCCCAGGGCCATCCCCCAAGGGTGGGCAAGCACTCCCAATGTGGGTCTGGAGGGGAGGCAGAGGCGGCTTCATGCAGAGGAAGCCCAAAGCCAACTCTGCAGCCAGGATGAGCCGTGCTCCTTGGGCACACAGCACACGGGACCAGGGGAGCCCCCCACTTCCTGCTGGGCTGGCTTCGGGGGCATGGGTGGGGTCCTCAGGCAGAGGGACAGCCCACCTCGGACCCTGGGAGAGCCCCTGCTCCCCCTCTCCCCCCCACCCAGAGTGCCCGAGCCCCCACCCAAAGAACCCCCAGCCCACGTGGAGGCCTTTTCGGCTTCCACAGCTCCTGTGTTGCCACGGCCACGGCAGTGGTCTGTCTGGGGAGCCCCGTGGCTCAGATGAAGAAGCAGAACATGAGGCCTCAGCCCGGGGTTAGCAGCAGAGTGAGGACCAGAGACCCAGCTAGGCTGCAGGGCTCAGAGGGTCAGGGACAGGATGGGGGCAGGGGACTGGGTGAGGAAGGTCTCGCCTAGGACTGGCTCTTAACTTTCACTGCCTGGGTCTGAGGGAGGGCTGCCCCGCTCGGGTTTGGGGGCCAGGGGACCTGAAGTCCTTCAGTGGCAGGACCCCGCTCTCACGATTACAGGTGTCCCAGCCACAGCCACCCCAGCTGCCCTCAGACCATCTGCCGGGGACTTCCAGGGCCCTCTCATTCTGGGGGCTTCTGTCCAGCCATCTGGGTCCCCTCCCGTCCTTTAGCTCCCACGCACCAAAGTGGGCCCTAGCCTGACAGCCCACAGCCATTGGCTCTGCAAGAAGCCCTCCCTTCCCCCAAAAAGGACCCTTACCCAGCACCCTGGGCTTTGCAGACTTTCAGCGTCTTGCCCAGCAGTCTGTCCATCCCCATCTCCTGGGACCCAAGCAGGTGTGTCTCTCCCTCGAGGCTGAGGGTGTGAGCCACAGGCAGAACACGGAAAGACCCATTTGGCTTCGGCCATCATGGGGGTGGAGGCCTGTTAGGCCACGCGCAGGCTGAGGCCCCACAGGGGCACGGAGCCTGGCCCCCTTCCCAGCCCCTGGACATCAGGGTGACCAAGGCGGTGAGCTAACCCACACTACATCTCTGACTGCAGACTCTGGCACAAGAGAAGTGCAGGGAGCCCCCACCAGCCAGAAGAGCAGCGGCCACCGCTGTCCAGGGGATGACAGAGCCCCCTTCTCCAGGTGAGCCCCACAGCAAGCTTCAGATGCTCTGGGCACGAGCAGGGCGTCCGGCTGGGCCTGGGAACGTTCTACACACACATGCACTTAGGTGACCGGGGCCCAGGCTCCGCTGAGGGGGGCAGGCCCCGCACCTCGCACATGATGAGGGCCGTGATAATCATGGTGTGGACGTGACCAAAATAATACTAGAGGCCCCGGGTGGGGCGTGCCTGCACCTGGTTCCCGCCACCTCCCTTGGTGGGCACTGCTGCCACGAGGGACTGCTTTAGCCCTGGTGACAAATGCAGAAATGGAGCCCAGGAGTCCCCGGTGGTGGCCACAGGGCTAGAGGGACTCCCTGGGGGCCTACGGGACACCCAGGGGTGGTCCTGACTGTCCTGAACGAAGGGGGGTGCCCAGTGGGAGTCCCGCAGAGCCCCTAAGCGGGCACACTGGTTGGCAGGTGGCACCTAGGATCCAGCCAGGCTCTGCCATGTCACAGCTCTGTGTGATCTCGTGTAAATACGGGGTGCCCGAGCCTTGGGGGTCACTATGTTCACCCCACGGTGACTGCAAGGTAGTGGTCAGCCAGAGCCCCTGGTGCCTAGTGAGCGGGCCACCCCGTGGTGATGGCCATCCGCAGGGTTTGGTGCTCAGCCTGGGAGGTCGAGAACCCGCCCCCCTTCCCCCCGGCGAGAGCGGGCTCCCCACGCGGCCTCCGGGCACCTGACCCGCGTCCCAGTCCTGCGTCCCCTGCGTCCTGCTGCGGGGCCTCGGAGCAGGCTCGGGAGGGGCGGCGCGCTCAGGCGGGCGCGCGTCTGGAGTCCTGGGCTCCGGCTGACTCACTGCCCTGCCCGCGGGGCGCCGTCCGCCGCGGGCCTCAGTATCCCCGTCTGCGCAATGGGGGCGGGCGGGGGGCTCAG